TGAGATTCAAAGGATTGGAAGAGCCAGGATTAGTGATGATAGCCTATATTCAGAGGCTTGTGTTGGCCTTGAGAAACTGAAAGTTGGTATGTCAGTTCCAAATTTTTAGTGTTTCTAGTACTTTGCCTTTATTGTGTTATTGATAGCATCTTAATTGTTACCTTAAAAGTTTGAATAACATCTTTTTCTTGTTCCATTTTCTCTGATGTATACAGAAAACTCTAAAGTGAAGCTAGTCATTACTGTCAGCTGTTATTACTGCTAATACTTTCCTCACCTACTTACAAAGTGGGTCATTTTGTGTGTATGGGTAGGGGAATATACCTGTGTGCATGCTTATATAAAAATGAATTTATTTCCCAGTTTTGTAATAATCTTTGCACTAGGATTGTTTATTTATCCCCCACCCCCAAATTAATACAGCATTTATTTGTCTCCTCCTTGGCAATCTTTGAGCCAGCCACTTTTCCCAGACTTCCTGGGAAGGTACAGAAAAAGGGAGGTACAGGGCAGGTGAGGCTTGGGAGAAAGAACTATAGGAGGTGGAAGTGGAGACAACTGCTTCTCAAGGAGAGGAGGATGGCAAAGGCTAACATTAGACAAAGGAGCCCATGTCCTCTGAGTAGAAGCTGCTGTTTGAGGCTCCCTTAAATATTTCCAAACCAGCTCTAGAGCCAGCCACCCTAACTGTGGCAGCCCTGTCCCAGTGAACTTGGCTGCTGTGTTGATGTTTCTTGAAATGGCAAACTTGCTGGTTTGGAAGCTGTGGCATGAGGGCTGAGTGAGGTCAGAGGACATGGGACTGTCTGGCTGCTGAGGTTCTCATTTGTGTCTCATGTAAGTTCAGGAGCCTGCAGAGGTGACCTCAGGGCCGGCATTATATTTTTTAAGGGTGAAGGACCAAGGCAGGAGAGCTGTTGCCAGGGTAGAGAAGCCAAGGCTACTTTTTTTTGAGACAGTCTGACTTTGTAACTCTGGCTGGCTTGGAACTTGGCTATATAGGTCAGGATGGCCCACCTTACTCTGCTGTCATAGCTCTGTGTTAAAGAAGTGCACCCCACACTTGGCCCTTATTTTTAAATGTGCTTGTCTCTCTTTGTATGTTATGTAGGTTGAGTGCAGGTACCTTTGGTAGGCTACAGGCATTGGATACTCTTGGAACTGGAGTTACAGTCAGTTGTGAGTGACTTGATGTAGGTATTGGGGACCAAACTCAGGTCCTTTGGAAAGAGCAGCACTGTTCCATCTCCTCAACTTTTCTGTACTAGGATTTAAAAACCTGCTTCCTAGGCAGTTACAATATTTGGCAAGTTGTGACGTGCATATGGCAAATAAGTGAACCAGTGTCAAAAAGTTTGGCAAATGGCTGAGTTTACTTTTATTTACTTTTAGATTTTTTATAAGTGACAAGATCAGTGGGGTTTTTTTTTGTTGTTTGTTTGTTTTTTTTTTTTAAATCCATGATATTCTGTAATGTAACTGAAGGTCTACAGAACTGTGTCAAAGGATTTGCATTCATTCCCCCTTCCCCCTTTCCTGTCTTTTTATTTCTTCAAAACTGAGACAAGGTCTCACTGTGTTGCTCCGGCTGGCCTAATTTTCTATGTAGACCAGGTTGGCCTTGAATTCAGACATCTGCCTGCCTCTATCTCCCAAGTGTGCCACCACACCTGGCTTGCTTTTGCCTCAGGATCCATGGCAGCAGAAGATTGATCAGCTAGGATGATACAGTCCATTAACTGGTGTTCTTGTTAGATAGTTGCCGTCTGTCAGGGAATTAGTAGTTATTAAAGAAAACTGGACAGTGTGGTGAAACTTTGGATATGCCTGTTTTTGATTTGATAGCATCTCTCCTGACCAGTGCTGTATATTGGGGTCTATCAGCACACACTATTGTATACTTTGTCCAATTTTGGTCCCTGGCCATGTCTGGATTCTTTGAGGGGTAGTACATAACCTACTTTATCTTGGAATGCCTGTCCTTCCTGGTCTTGAAATATTAGGACATAGGGACTTAAAAAAAAAATACTAATTTTAAATCACACTTCTGAAGTTGTAATGCCTCAAATTGTTCTGTGGTCCTCTTACTGAGCTCGTCTTTGTTGTTTTGTACATGGTAAGGGAGATGGGAGACACTGTCTTACAGCCCTTGGTCTCTGGCAGTTGCTGATGTTTCATCAAGAGCTATCTGATTAGCCAATTCCCTCCTGAGTGTGACACTGACCTTTTATCTCCCTTTCCCTTTTGTTGCAGGACCCAGCCTCAAAGATGCCTCATTACTGTTTGGAGAATTTCAAACCCCTTCAAGGTTGAATTGTTCATTTGGTTTCCAGGAGTTAGAGTTGGCTACCACCTGGATACATCATTGATTCTTTATTCTCTTTAGTAGCTGTATATGTAAACACAGCTAGTTAGTTCTACCTCTTGAACTAAGAATGTATCTGCTTGATAAGTGCCAGTTATTAGTCTTTTCCATGGATTTCAGGTACTTTTAAAAAAGTGGGTGACTTACTGTTCTAGAGAGAGGAAAGGTTTTTGCTGGGACACACATAAGAATGTATCTGCTTGATAAATGCCAGTTATTAGTCTTTTCCATGGATTTCAGGTACTTTTTAAAAAGTGGGTGACTTACTGTTCTAGAGAGAGGAAAGGTTTTTGCTGGGTCACACATAAGACATACTGTAATCCTCTAATAGGCTCTTGTAATTCTTTCTTTTAGAGAAGCAAGGCCAAGTTTTTCTAGTTCCTGACTAAGTGCTTCCTTGTGAACTTGTGGTCTAGACCATGTTGTGCATTACTTGGAGAACTGGGCTGAGAGTAATTTGGTACTCTCGTGATTTACTTTTTCCCTAAGATAACTTCATCCCATTTAGCATTGTTATCTGGTCAGTTATACTATCCCACTGTTCTTTTGGGTCTGTTTTACTCAACCTTAAAAAAAACAAAAACTTCCTCTGGTAATTCCTGATGATGCTTTTGTGAGATGGGTTTTATTAGGTTATCAAAATATTAGGCTACTCTGTTGCTTGCTCTCTCTGTTTTTGCTGGCTTCATCTATCTTGTTTATTTCTGATAAACTTCAGAAACTTGGCACATTTTTTTTCCCATTCATCTACTTTCCTGTGTGAGTTACCCAGTTTTCTTATAAAATTTAACTCTGAACTCCAAAGTAAAGACTTTGTTTTGCTGATATTTCTGGGTGGCTCATAATATGAGAACAGTTGGGACAATAACATTTAGCCTTCTGCTATCCACCATCAAAGGTAAACTGCTAAATCTGTCCAGCTAACATTTTCAGACTAGTGTGTTCACCACACCCACCCCACTTCATGAAGTTCCTATACTGTGGTGTTTCATCTAGGAACCCCATTTTGTGTGCGAGAACTACACAGCTGTAACATAATTTCATGTGAAATCAATTCCCAGGTTTCCCAAGGCTTTAATTGTTCTAAATCTTACTTGGTTTCTATCAATTACTGCTTCAGTTATGCTTTGGCTGCCCTGGGTCTCCCTGTGTAGATGGACGCTGGTCTACATAGATCACAGAGGTCACCTGCCTCTGCCTCCCAAGTGCTGGGATTAAAAGCCATGTGCTGTCATGCCTGACAAAACTATTTTGCTTTCCCTCTTTAGTTCCCTTTATTCTAATGCTCTCTTTCTAAAACTCTTATTAAAAGTGGTAGTTTGAACCAGCTGGTGGTGGCGGGCATATGCCTTTAATCTTAGCATGGAGGCAGGTGGATATTTGTGAATTCCAGGACTGCTAGGACACCCAGAAACCCTGTTTCAAAAAACCCAAAAACAATAACAAAAAGCGGTAGATGGGGGTTGTTGTTTAAGTCCCCATATCATTAGTAAAGTTCCATGAACTCTTATGGTCAGCTATCCTCTTAAATATGGGGTGGTCATTTTGACCAGCAAGTACCAGGAAGCCTTCCCTATGTAGCCCAGAGCAGCTTGACTGCTAGGGGTATGAGCCACCATTCTGAGATTGAATTTTTATTTATTTAAAAATTTTAATTTATTTTGTGTGTATGGATATTGCATTCATGTATGCCTGCACTGTGTGTATGCTTGGTGCCCAAGGAGTCCAGAAGAGAACATTGGGTCATTGGGAAGTAGAGTTAAAGTTTTGAGCTATCATGTGGGTTCTGTGCAAGAACAGTAATTATTCAGTCCCTGAGCCATTTCTCCCCCTGACCTTGATTGAACTCTTGAGCCATTAGAATGCCCCATATCCCCAGTGCTAGACACATGCTACTCTGCCCAGCTTGACTCTAAAGTTACTTGCTGTTTATCCATACATAAGAATATGTGATAAAAAGACAGCCCTCCCCCAGATCCTAGATTAACAATATTCTAAGTACATTTTTAGTGTTTTGTTATAAAAAGATGTAACTAGGCAAATACTTGTTTGCTGAGGAATATTATTATAACTGTATAAAGGTGTGCTGTACTTGTTTATGCTACATTTGTTTAATGACATAAAGATGTGTTACATTTGTTTTTTGCTGCATTTGTTTTACCCTGCCTGCCTAAGGCACCTGATTGGTCTAATGAGCTGAATGGCCAATAGCTAGGCAGGAGAGACATGGGTGGGTCTGGAAGACAATAAATAGGAGAAATCTAGGCTTGAATGAGGGAAGAAGGAAGAGGAGAGAGAATGAAGGAGTAAAGAGACACACATCTGGTGTTAAAAACCCGGCAACAGCCAGCCAGCAAGACAGGAATAGGACATATAGAAAGAAAAGGCAAGAAGCCCCAAGGCAAAACATAGATGAAGAGAAACAGGTTAAGTTATAAAGTTAGCAAGGAAAGAAATACACTAAGGTAGAGCATTCAAAACTAATAATAAGTCTCCATGTTATGACTTGGGAGCCGGTTGGTGGCCTAAAAGAAAAAGTCTGTGGTGAAAAGTACTCACAGTTGCTTTGACTAAAGCTACTTCTCTTGAGTCAAGGTGAATTGGCTGTTTTGTTTTCCTTGTTCTTTTTAAATAGGGTTACACATCATTTTGGAATGACTGTATATCATCTGGATTACGTGGCTGTATGTTAATTGAATTAGCCTTGAGAGGAAGGTTACAACTAGAGGCTTGTGGAATGAGAAGAAAAAGTCTTTTAACAAGAAAGGTAAGAGGACTTCTAAATAATACTCCCCTTTGCAAGAATTTGTTCTGTATAAGTGAATATTTTAATAGCTTTAAAATGTTTAAATAGTTTAAATTTGTCTTTATTGGATTTGCAAGCTTGGTTTTTCTGGTTCTTTGCATACGCCACAAATGATGTCAGTCACTCACTACTAGGATTGAAGACCATTGCATCTTAGGAAGATGCTCAATTTTGTTTGCTTCTGAAGACCTTGAGACAACTTTGACAGTCCAGGAGTTTTGTGGAGATTAATTACTCATAGAGCATCTATCTTTTTGGGAGAATGTGATTGCTTTTCATCCCTCTTCTCCACAGTGAAGTTTTAGGTACTACTTCGGTAGGACAGAAATATATATGCTAGTTTTCAGACTTTTAACTTTAGCATCAATCTCAGGTATGCAAGACTATTTCTTTTCCAGTCTGTTCTTACGCTTTGAACATGGTATTTCAAATTCTTTTTGTTGTTGTTTTTTTGTTTTGTTTTGTTTTTGTAGTAATTGTATTATATGTATAAATCCAAAGCTTGGGCCAGAACCAAACATCTTGTTGCCATTTAGTGTTTTAAGACAAGAATTAACGAGAACATTCTCAAGTTCCAGCCTTGGTGCTCTCTCAGGGTTCAGGTTGGGGGCTAGACAGCAGCAGGCAGGTAGGGTTTTCTAACAGGAGTCTGAGGGTGAGAGGGAGATAAACTGGCACACACATGCGTTCCTCTCATGGCTCTCTATTCTTCAAAGATGGAGGCTTCCCCAAAAGATCTCTCTCAAAAGCTCTTAAGATTTCTCTCTAAAAGCTTGCTTCTCCAAGTTTCTTAAAAATTCTCTAAAGTTCTTTCTAAAAAATATCCAAAAGTTCCCTCTAAAAGTTCTCCTGAGATCTCTTTTATCTACAAGGCTTCTAATTTTTATAGCCACAGGTACCATACATTTGATAACTTTATGACAATAGAACATGCCTACCTCTTAGAGGTAAATGGGGTGGGATCTTGAGAAAAGCAGGTGCTTCACATCTCTTTCCCTGAACATGACTTGCAAAATGTCCTGGCAAACTTAAGTCTTGGGGGAACGTGACTTGTATCATGTGCTGTTAATTCGTTAAAGGGGGCTTCTCAGTGCTTTATATCAAAGGGAAAACTAAGGTTATGTAGTGTGAGATCTAGAGGCTGCATAGCTCACGTGACACCCTGGTGAGAAGCAATTCCATTCTCCAGGGCCTATTTGAGAATACAAAGCACCCATATGTATTCTATATACAGCCAAATTCATAGTAACAAATATTCTGGAGCTGATACCTAGGATATTAATTGCTACTTCTGTAATAAACGACAAAGTCTTCTAACAAAGAATATTCACCTTTTAACCAAGGCTGACCTGGAATTCATTATGTAGCTCATGCTGGCCTTGACCTGGAGGTCTCTTGCCTCTATCTGCAGGGCATTAATAACACAAGCCTGTGCTTCATTCCTTGCTCTGAACTTTCCGACATGATAGTGTTGTAAGGAGACATGCCGTTAATGTGTTGGTGAATGTTACATGCAGGAAGTAATATTGCTGGGTTGGAGTGAATGCAGCTAGGTCAGGATGAGTACTCCCTTAGCATGTGTGAGGGCCCGTGTTTGAGCTTAGTACTGGATGGGTGGAGTAATGTGGACGTGTTTGAGTCAGTCTTACTGTGCAGCTTATGCAGGCTTTGAATTTAGATCTCTTGAGTCTCTGGACTGCTGAGATTACAGGCTGACACCAGAGAGATGCTTTCGTGGCAACTCTATGGTAAATCCAGCCGCTTGCCTTCAAGGCAGGTGAGCTGGCATTGAGAGAATTTAACAAAGTACTTTGTTGGATAACTATATCATAAAGCAGGCTACAATTTTATGTCAGTGACTGTAGTAACTTATTGGGGGAAATTACCCGAGGAAGCTGTCATTGTAGCTATCAATAGAATGTGTACATAGATGAACTTATTATAGTCCTGACCTAAGTAAAAAGATTGTGCTAATGAGCAAGAGCTGTCAACTGGTGATTGTCTGTTCCTTTATTCATTGTGCACTCAGTGTTTAAGTACATCATGCACTGTGTTAGACTCTGGGAAACAGTGGTGAAACATAAGTCAGTCTAGTTCTGATGATGTGAAGAAGATAAGGTTGTTGGGAAATATTCTATATGACTTAGTGAGTTAAATTTTAAAAGTAATTGCTGGTTTAATTAAGAATGATACAGTTAGAAGACCAAAAGTAGCTGTTTTTCCTCATTGGTTACTTCTGTTCTTGGAAGCCAACTGTATTAGTCTTTTTTTTTTTTTTTTTTTTTTTTTTTGAGACAGTGTGTCTCTGTAGTCCCATTTGTCCTGGAGCTCAGTATGTAGACTAGGCTGGCCTCAAACTCAGAGATTCTCCTGAGTGCTAGGATTGAAGGCATGTGTCACCACTCTGTCTTTAGTTCATTTTAAAGCCACCCTAGCAAAGGTCCATAGCCATAGTGGCTTTAAGCAAGAAAGAATTCTCTCAGTTTTGGAGGTTTGAGTTAGGAGATGTAGTTAGTTGTGTTGTGTTTTCTCCAAGACTCTAAGAAGAATTGTTTATAGCCCCTGGCTTTGGGTTGTTTGATTCCTTAGCTTCTGGCTGCATTTACCCACGTACATGTCCTCATTGCCCACCACTGTGTCGCATCTGCTCCACTACTGACCTTGGGCCACTTTGCTCTAAGGTTGGAGCTCCCACAGAGTTTCTTATTTTATGAATCTAATATTTATTGTTAAATCCCTGAGGCCTTTTGAAACTTTCATCTATATAATACATTTTCTCAGAGGTCTTGGTTTTATCTTCTTTCTGTCTCTTCTATGTTGGACGTAGCAAGAATTTACTGAAGTATAGAGGATATTTATTTCAAACCCACACATATTCTTGAAGTATTTTTCTTTTTTTGGTTTTCAAGACAGAGTTTCTCTCTGTAACTCTGGATGTCCTGGAACTCACTCTGTAGTTCAGGCTGGCCTCGGAAACCCAGAGATCCACCTGCTTCTGCCTCCCGAGTGCTGAGATGAAAGTCTGGCTATTCTTGAAAATTTAAAAGCAATTTAAAACTTGTTTGAATCTGTGATTCGTTTTGAGCAGGGACAATGAAATGTAAGATTTTCCTCCTGAAGAGCTCAAATTGGAGCATGGGACTGAAAGAGGCAAAAGGTGGCCTTGTGTACTCCCAGACAGCACCTGTGGTTACCAGTATAAGATGAAGCCAGTAGCTTCCCAGGGCTGAGTGGAGAGGCCTCACGAGACTCCCACCCTCCAGTTGAGGAGCAACTGATGGCTGCAGGGGAGGTTGGTGTATGTGACCACTGGTAGGTTGCCAGCACTATGGTGGATGCCTCACACATCCGTGTGTGTGTGTGGGGGGGGAAGGGGGATGAAGTGAAAGGAGAGGGGTTTGGAAGTTTGGGTTGGATATGATCACGTTACATTGTATATATGTTATGAAAGTATCAAATAAAAGGATCCCTAAAACATTAAAAAGTTGAAGTCAAGACACAAATTATTCTTAGTGAAAGATGGTCAGACTTGGGGGCTAAAATCCTGGCAAAGATAATAGAGGGAGTGAGTGACACATGTGAAGAAGGTTTAAAGCAGAACTGAGAACATAGCTGGGTTATTTGTACTGATAAATCACTTGTCTTAAAGTGGGGTGCATGAGAAAAGTGGCTGACACCAGCTTCTGGCCACATGGAGAGAGGGAAGGAGAGGAAGTGTAGGTCACATGTCTGCAACATCACAGATGTAGTACTCTTTTCTCCTGAAATTCTTTTTCTCCTTTATAAATCCTGGTCTAACTAAGCACCAGGGAGTGAATGTTCTGAGTATTTCTGTATCTGCACTGTCCAGCTTAGTAATGAGGCTGCCATTGAAAATTGATATGTGCTGTAAAAACACTGGATTTTTAAAAATCGTATTGGTGGAAACAATATCTCTGCTTTCAAACAGTTATCTATTATGGACCAGTTTTTGGTTATATTGGGGTAAATCAATATTTAAAATTTTCATTTTCCTTTCCTCAAGGCTAGATTTGTGGTTGATGTTATGGTTATATTTTCTCTTGTGTAGTCCTGAAGAATAAGGTCTTATATATATATTTTTAATCTTTAGTGACATTGAGTAAAAAAATGAAGGGCACCTTTTTTGGGTATCAGAGAAAAGTCGCATTTAAACATTTTTTAGTATCCATTCCAAGGTACTGTAATGGGTTGAATTTTGGTACTATAAAGTTTCAGGTAGAAATGTGTTGCTTAGGTGATAACCTGAGTGAAGCCTATGGGAATCTAAGGTGGTTGAGTAGTGTGGCAGTATGGGTTGCTTTCCTAATCACTTCCCAGGATCTTGTTTTTTGAGGTTTATTTCTTTTATGAGTCTGGATATTTTGTTTGTATGTATGTCTATGCACCACAGGCATGCTGTAATTGCAGAGACCAGAAGAAGGTGTTCGATTTCCTGGAATTGGAGTTATAGATGATTGTAGCTGGTACTGGAAATAAATTCAGGTCCTAGAAGAGCAGCCAGTGTGCTTAACTCTTGAGCCACTTTTCACTATTAAGATTTTAGCCTGCACAGGTTTTAACTATAGATTGAGAGTCTGTCCTTGGGCCTGCCCATCTCCAATCCTTACCCTCTTGGTGCTGGAGATAGAGTTTTTATAGTCACTAAGGCTTCTGTTAGCACTGTCATTTAAAATAAAACTTATTCCTAAAACTGTATTTCCCCTTCATATCTTTTATTATTAAGCATAAGCTCAAGGGAGCCATTTCTTTTTTTTTCTTTTTTGTTTATTATTTTTTTCTTATTTTACATATTGATCCCACTTCCCTCTCCCTCCCATCCTCCCATGCCATGCACCATCATTCCACCCCATCCCCATCCACTCCCCAGGGAGGGTGAGGCCTTCCATGAGGGATCATCAAAATCTGTCAAGTCATTTGGAGTAGGCTAAGGGAGTATCCCTCCATGAGGGAATGGGCTCCTAAAGTCTGTTAGTGCACCAGGGATACATCCTGGTTCCATTGTCACAGGTCCCTTAGACTGCCCAGGACTTCTGAGACCCACGTTCAGGGGATCTGGGTGGGTCCTTAGCTGTTTTCCCAGCTATTAGTCTGGGGTTCATGAACTCCCCCTTGTTTAGGTCAGTTGTTTCTGTGCGTTTCTCCAGCCTGTTCTTTCTCATTACTTAGGGAGATACTTTTTGACTTTGTTTTTGCTCCAACTTGTCAAAGTTTCCTTAAAGATATTTTTTTGAGAAAATTAGTTGTGTTACTTATGTGAAATATCTTTTTACTAGATGAAATTTTCCATATAGTTGAATCTGTTTTTGAGTGATTAGTGAATGATATTTCTGCATTAAATAGCTCAAGGTTCAGCAACAAATGAAATTACAGTAAAGGCTCTGAGCATGAAATATTTGCATACTTTGTTTTTCATCTAATGAGTTTGAGGGAAGATGGTACCAGTTGATCTTTCTGACTGCTTGTGTTTTAGGTGATCTGTAAATCGGATGCTCCAACAGGGGATGTTCTTCTTGATGAAGCTCTAAAGCATGTTAAGGAGACTCAGCCTCCAGAGACGGTCCAGAACTGGATTGAGTTACTTAGCGGTAAGCTGATCTATTAAACAGTAAACATCGAGTTCTGATTAGAGAAGTTTTTAAGTATGGAAAATGGTGGCGGGATGATAATTAAAAAAAAAAATGTATCTCCTTTGACAAAAGAGAGCAGATACTAAATGAGATGGAATGTTCTTCCTTCAAACTCTCATCTATTGTTTTTTAGTCAAGGTCTCCTCACTTTGTAGTCATGGCTGAGCTATCAACTCAGATCCACATGCTTTTGCCTTCTAAGTGCTGGGATTAAAGCCTACACCACTATGCTGTTTGCCAATCATTCTTTATCAGAGTTGTTACATTTTACTGTTTAGAGCAGGCCAAGTTGTGAGAATGTCTTTATAAACTTTATAAATGATCTGATATATATACCAGGGCCTCATTGGGCTTGGTCTAGTCCGGCAGTGTCTTGGATCACTGGATATCCTCTGACAATGCATGTACCCAAACTAGTTTTATCCTAAGGGGTTGGGTTAATAGGTTAAGGTGGTTGTACTTAACTAGTTAACATTGTATGGCTGCTGGCTGAACTTGGTTTTCAACTTGAACTGCTGTTGTGAGTTTCTCACTGGAGTGAGATTTTATAAGCTTTTCCCCAATACAGTAGGTTATCCATTGGATTAGGTCAGAGTCCATGAGAGTCTATAAGCTCTCTCCCAGTACAGTAGGTTATCCATTGGATTAGGTCAGAATCCATGAAGAAAATATTTAGACAATGCCCCATGTTTTTAGATTGGCTATAAATGCCAGATGTTGTGGTTAACATTTTATTATCAGGAATATATTAGGATGAGCTTCCATGTTGACATGAAAGAAGGGGATCCAGCTTGGGAGGAGGAAACAAAGCACATTGTTGGTATGGGAACGGTGGTTCTGGTTAGTGATGGAGTGCTTGGAGTGCTTGGTTCCATGTGCAAGGCCCAGGGGAAAAACAGTCACCTGCTCCTTATTGTTCAAATGGACCAGGTTTCAGCTGGCCAGCTACTAACTATGAGTTGTTTTTTTTTTTTTTTTTTTTTTTTTTTTTGTTCATTTGGGGTGGGGGAGAGGGTGTGGGTGGGTGGGATGGTGGTGGTGAGTATAACAGGGTAGAGGTCATAGGACAGTATTCAAGAGTCAGCTCTCTCCTTCACCATGTGATTCCTGGGGTGCATTGAGATTGTCATGCTTGGCTGCAAGTGGCTTTGCTCGCTGAGCCATCGAGCTGCGTTCCCAGTCTGAATTTAAGGATGTAGGTCTGTGGCCGGTTTGGTGGTGAGAACTTTTTTTTTTTTTTTCCTTTTCAAATTTCAGTTGTTTCAAAGTGGTCCACATCAGAGGTATAGTCCTAAAGGATCTAGAATGTGCAAAACCTTGGATTTGACACCTATCCTGCACTGTAGAAGTATCAGCAACAGAAAAGTATGTGGTGTACTGAGTGAATGCCAGTGTTGCATGATACTGACATAGATGCTATGGAACTTAAGCAGATACTTGCAGATGAAGCAGTTTTAAAGTATATTCGGAGACCACCTGTGTGTGTGTCTAATAATTTAATACTTACAACTCTAAAAGTTTGGCGGTTAAGGAAAAAAATCTGAGGAAACTTAGAAATTGAAAGGAAGTAGAGTTTGTATTAAACCTTTTCAGAAGGATTAGAGTGGGCCAGTGAGAAGGCTCAGCAGATAACCAGGCACTTGCTGCCAAGCCTGGTTCCCTGAGATGGTCAAGATGTCGTGTGAGTGTGAGACCTCTCCTGTTGGACATACTGTTAAAACACAATTGTGTTGTACTGCAGTTCTGAGAAAATGTAAGCTTATTCAGTCAGTAATACTGAATTAGCTAGTGTTGCTAGGAGAAAGTGTTTTGTTGATAGCTTCCAGATTACTGTATGCATAGTTAGTTAATGGTAGAGTTAAAGTGTAGGTTTTTAAGTATTTTACATAATGTGGCTATCATCTAATGTTATAGTAGCTTGAATTTTCCACAGTTAGCTAATACATGTTGTATGATTCTAGGTTAGGGTTGTCTGTCTTCCTGACACTGGCATTAGGAAACAGAATAAAATCCAAACCCCAAACTATCAGGTGATAAATAGGCACTTTGGGAGATGAGGGATTGATTAAAAGTTGGAAGTTACAAGACCTTTGAGAGAAGATCATCGCTGTTGTGTACTGGTGCTGTTTCTTCTGTTCTTAAATGTTTATTCTTTCTGGAAGTCTAGATGTAGCTTAAATGCCTCTTCCTCTAATTTTCTTAAAGATAACCCTTAATATTAAGTCATTTCTAATGCTTCATTTTGTACTTAGTACCTTATTCCCATTTTATTCTAGCCACTAAATTGTGAAGGTTTCTCTCAATTAATTGTAATTCCTAAAAGGTTAGAAATAAGTCTTAATGTTTATATTCTTGGTACTGTGATTCCCAAGAGCATTGTAAATACCACCTTATGAAGTAACTTGCTTTTGTGTGTGCATGCTTAAGACCATATGTGCTTGCAGGCACTGATTTGTTGTGACTTTTTGTTTGAAATGTTTTTCTTTAAATGAACAAAATGGCCTTACTTATTCGTAATTCATAGTACTAACTTTTTAATCATATTCATTAAGTCCTTTTCCAAAGTAAATTGCTACATTTTAATGGTTCTTTTATGGACCAATGGGATGGCTCAGAAATTAAAGGTACTTGCTGCCAGGCCTGATGACCCAATGGAAAGGAAGAAAGAACTCGCTCTTGGGAGCCAGAGGCAGGTGGATCTCTGTGAGTTTGAGTCCAGCCTGGTCTATTGGTTTACAGAGCTAGTTCCAGGACAGGCTCCAAAGAAATACAGGGAAACCCTGTCTCAAAGAAAGAAAGAAAGAAACAAACAAACAAAAAAACCCAAAAACTGTCCTCTCACCTCCACATTTGTGGCATGAGTCACATACATGTGTGCATACACATACATGCCAAATAATGTAATAAAAGGTTGTCTCAGATAGCTTATTCTTTCTAAAAAGTAGTTCCCACTTTGTGCTCATTTCCTTTAAATTATGTAGGTGTTATATTAGCTCTTTAAAATCCTTGTCTGCTGATTTTCTCGTCTTTGTTATTTTTTGTTCATGTTTGATTTGGTTGGCCATTTCCATTTTCCATTAGTTTTGGGACCCATTTTTTTGTTGTTGCAAATCTAACATGTTACTGTTTTAAAATTAAACATTCAACATTGTGAATATTAGGTTAAATTCTGAACTTGCTGTCTTTGTTCAAGGAGTGTTTGATTTAAATTCAGGGTGCCTGCCTAGTATGAGGGAGGTCCTGAATTCAATCTCAGTGTTGTCTCCCTCCCCCTGGGGTGGGGGGAGTGTTGGCTTTTGCTTTGTCAGACAGACATTTAAATGACTTGTGCATTGTGCTTTAAAGCTTGGATAGTACAGGCCTTGAGGCTAGTTCAGCCTTGTTCCTATAGTGTGGTTTTTCAGGTCCTCTTGTGTCCTGGACAGTCAAATAAGTGTTCCCCTCAGGCTAGTTGGTACTCAAGGTTACTCAGCTCTCTGAAAACTCCTGGCATTGTTTAGCTTTTTGCTTAGCTTTGCAGTTTCTTACTTCAACATGTGTGGCTTAGTTTTCTGAGACTTGAGAACATTGTGCAGGTCTCTAGACCTTCTGTACTCTGCCTTGTATCTTTCAGCTGCTTTAGCCATTTTGATCTCTGACCATTGACTGGGCAGGGTGACTGAGTCAGAGTGACTGCTGTGCTGTGCTTTTTTGTTCCTTAAGACATGCTAGGGAGTGTACTTGGGGCAGGTCTGTATCTCATTAGGTTTTATCCAAAAGTCATATTTTTTAATGCTTTATGACCAGTAACTGAAGAGTCTTTTAATTTCCCCCATATTTTTTTAATAATAAACATCAAGGATTGCTTTGCTGTCCAGGATAGTCTTTTAATTTTTATGTGTGTGTGTACCTGACTGTATGTATACCAAGTGCCTGGAAAAGGAGGTGATAAGACATCCCTCTCCCTGGGGATTTGGAATTACAGCTGGCTGTTAGGTACCTGATACTAGGAGCAAACTCCAGTGCTGTGTGAGCATCATGTGCTCTTAATATGAGAGTTAAACTGTTACTGAGCTCCTGTCAAGGATATTCTTTACTGTTAGGTGACAAAATAATTTCTGTGGCCATTTGAACAGAAATACATTCCAGGTGCCACAGTTCACTAGTCTTTCATATAACAGTGTTCTGTTTTGCCTAGTGAGTAACTAATGGGTAGCCACTTAAAGGCTTTTCATACTTAAAATGTGGCTTGCAAAGCTGAGGAACTGAAAATTTAAATAGTTCCATGTTACTGATTTCAGTGATATACATTCTCTTAGTGTTGTAAAACTTCAGCCTTTGAGTCTTTACACTGAAGGACGGTGCTTAGGGTTGGTTTTTAATGTGTTGTGGTTTAGAAAAGTACTTTGGTATCCCCCCCCCCCCAAACTGCAGAAATAGTTCTGTGTTCATTGGTGATCATTTGGAAATACAGTTACTGCATATAATCTTGTTGCATATAATCTGAATGATAGACAAAGTTACTAAATTTTGTGAAGGATTAAAAAAAAAGAGGGTTTCTATGTGTAGCTCTAGCTCTCCTGGAACTTACTCTGTAGAGGAGGTTATAGATTAATGGCATGTACCACCATACTAGGCTGAAAATAAAGTATTTTTTAATGGGAAATGCCTATTTTAACTAAGTATTTGTCTCAAAAGGAAGTGATTTTAGGTGACACACTTAAGAATTAAAACTGATGATGGGTGGTGGTGGCAGCATGTGCCTTTAATCCCAACATTGGGGAGGTAGAGGCAGGCAGGCAGAAGATCTCTGAGTTGGTGGTCAGCCTCTGGTATATGGAGTGAGTTCCTGGACAGCAAATACTACACACAGAAACCTTATCTCCAGAACAAAACAAAAAACTTAGAAAATTTTTTTTCTTTTCAGGGGTCAACTTTATATACTTTTAAAAATCCCTGTTCACATAAACTTTGCCGTCTTTACAGACTGTTTTGGTGGCAGTGTCAGGAGAACATACAGTCACAGGGCTCCATTTCCCTTTTGTCTGTTGATCATTGGTAGTTTGTAGGGATAAAGTTGCTGCTTTGTTTTTTTTTTGGGGGGGGGGAAGGGCTGGCCCTTTTGTTTGTTTGTTTTGTAGTATTGAGGGTTGCTCTGGGCTTTGTGCTGCTTTTATATTGTAGGACCATCTTTTACATGTAGCCACACTTGATGATGCTTCCACACTTGAGAGCCTTCGCCTCCACCTCTGCCTGGCGAGTCTGTGCCCCACATCCTGCCAGAGCAGGCAGGAACAAAATATTTGGTTCATTACTGTTTTGCCTGGGAATGGGATAGGTGCCTGGAATGCAGTGGTCCAGACTGGGACTTGATGATCTAGTGGGGAAGGAGCAAGAATCAAAGTTCTTTTGCTTATCTAATAGTTCATTATATCTAATACAGCATCTCATATGTTATTTGGGGCTAGCATGGCTATGGGACCAGGCCAGCAAAAAAACATGCTCATAATAGTAGTTCATTTTTTGATGTTATAGTTCAGCAAAGTAATACCTATAATTCTAACTTCTGGAACATTCTTATTTAGGTGAGACGTGGAATCCATTAAAATTGCACTATCAGTTAAGAAATGTACGGGAACGATTAGCCAAAAACCTGGTAGAAAAGGGTGTACTGACGACAGAGAAACAGAACTTCCTCCTGTTTGACATGACAACACATCCTCTCACCAATAACAACATTAAGCAGCGCCTCATCAAGAAGGTACAAGAAGCAGTTCTTGACAAATGGGTAAATGACCCTCACCGAATGGACAAGCGCTTGCTGGCCCTCATTTACCTAGCTCATGCCTCAGATGTTTTGGAGAACGCCTTTGCCCCTCTTCTGGACGAGCAGTATGATTTAGCCACCAAGAGAGTACGGCAGCTTCTTGACTTAGACCCAGAAGTGGAGTGTCTGAAGGCCAATACCAATGAAGTTCTATGGGCTGTGGTAGCTGCGTTTACCAAGTAACTGTCAGAGTGGAATGTTTCCTTTTTCTCATGTGAACTGGTAGCTTTTCTTCTATTGACTTCTGGTTTTCTGTAGTTTGTACTTTCCCACACTAATAATTGGCTTTTGTTCTACAAAATGGTGGGTGGCTATTTCTTTTTGTATGTACGCAGGATTCTGCTGGTACGAGAGGCCTTCCTCTTTCTGTTTCTAATCAACTTTATTGCCATATTGGCACTCCATTCCCTGTTGCCATTCTCACTGTTACCTGTTGGGGTTTCTGGTGTACTTTGACTATCAGAGTACCTCCAGTCACCTCATTGCACAGCTTTTGGATTACCTCAGCTTGAGTTTTCCCACATGTGCACATTCACCTGGTATCCTACCTACAATTCAGACAAGTCACAACAAGGCCTTCAACTCACCAAAGGTAAATATCTGTATCTATTAGGACATTTTATACATAGACCTCAGTTGAGATGTATACTTAGCAAAATTATTATTTTTAAATTGAAACAGCACAGTAAATAGGTAATATAAAATGCCCCTTGGATTTTGTTTCCTGTGTAAATCTATTGTATGATTGCACCTGTTATAATTTTAGCTATTAAATCATAAAGGTCCAGTTGTTTCACAAAGCCAGTTTGAGATGGGCTGCATTCCATTTATGCTGTATATAGTTTGAATTATATGAATCGCCCCTTCTTCTGGCCACCTCTGCCTCATCTTAGTATTTTGCAAAATTTCATTGTGCACCTGGTGCCCCTCACTTGCCTCAGTCATTCATTGTTATTTGATGGCAAAATAGACCTCTCATCATTGAAGGATAGATGATGTGTGATTCATTCAGGGCTCTTTCTAAGCTGTGCCCCTCATGGTACTCTGCCTGTGCATCTCTTTTGGAACTTTTTTTTTTTTTTTGACTCTTCCTGTTTTTATGATTTCTGTAGGCCTGTTTTTATGATTTCTGTAGGAAAGAGGCTTGTGACCAGTACCAATCTTGAGTACATTTCTTTTTTCTTTTACTTTTTCAAGTAAATTAATGTCTGCTCCAAAATATCATTTATCCACTTATCCTTTCTTGAGGGGAAAAATAAAAAATCAGATATCAGTCCTAGCAGATGTTGCATGTAAATTGGTAGCAAGTAATGACTGCAACTCAGATGATTAAGAATTTTGTAACAGAAAGCTCTGCTATGTTTTAATTTTATATACAATTATGATAATTAGCACATCGTAAGACTACAAACCTCTGCTTTTTAATGTTGATTTTATTCTTTATCACTGTTTCTGTACCATTGGTTTCATAATGTAAATACTATACATTGAACAAATTAAATGTCAAATTTTTTATTACCATAGTTCATGTTAATAGTGGGGCTTTCAGGTGTCTAGAAACTTTTGGTTAACTTTGATGCAAAAATACTAGATGCATATTAACTTTAGAGTTGAATTTTAAGGGACTCCCTAATATGTATACTATCTTTTTATCTGAAGTAATAAATAAACTATGATCTTGAAAGTGCCTGAATCAGAGCGAGCATGTCATTTGATCTGTCATTTCCTTTGCTTCAAGTGAAGCTTGAAGTGGGGCATAGCAACATTTCAAGTGTACAGTTTGGTACACGGTCTTTAGAGCTAGATAGGAAGTACTTTAAACTTGGCAAGCCACAGATGGTGTTTGTTGCAGAAACTCAGTCTGCTGTCACTGACAATACAAATCAGTGGCAGTAAAATATTAGAGAAACACAGCTGACTCTGGGTAATAGTTTGTTGCCATCCCTTTTATGATGATGCATGAGGAAAGACATTAAAATAACCCATTTCCCTCCCAGTGACACTGTTACTAGCAATAAAGGTAGGTTTTTTTTTGTTTTGTTTTGCTTTTTTTTTTTTGTTTGTTTTTAAACATGGATACTGAAAACTGACACTAGTACACTGAAATTAAAATAATAAATTAAAAAAATAATTTTGTTATTTTATGTGTATGTTTTTCCTGCATGTATGGATGTAGAGTCCTTGGTGCCTGCCAGAGGCCAGAAGAGTGAGTACATCAGGTGTGACCCTCCATGTGGTGTAGGGAGCTGAATGGGGGTAGGCCCTCTGCAAGAGCCGCTAGTGGTCTTACCTGCTGAGCCAGCTCATTAGCCCCACATTTGGTGAAGATTTTACTGTTTTTCTTGAAGGATTTTAGAAGTAGAAATAGAAGGAATAGATAATCTCTAAGGTACTTGCTTCAGCATTAATATAGATAATCCCAAGAACAGTCATTTGTGTGTATCTTAGGGTAGAGTTTATACTTGGCTCAGCCTGTGAGTGGCTTCAGATCCAGAAGGGAAAATTTTCCCATCAAAGACTTGCTTTCTTTATATTTTGTATGGTTTTTTTTTTTTTTTTTTTTTTTTTTTAATCTCTGCATCTGGCTGTCCTAGAACTCATTATGTAGACCAGGCTGGCCTTGAGCTCAAAGAAGATCTACCCACCTCTGCCTCCTAAATGCTGGGATTAGAGTGCAACCCCATGTTCGGCTCTTACAAACCTCTTAAAAGCAAGAATGATGGTTCTTTAATGAAAATAATTATTCCTGCGGTTAATGTAACAAATTAAAAGCTATTAGCCCAAGATGCCAATGGCAGTGGCATTTCATAAGGCCTGTGTGTCTATTGTGTCTAAGAATGAACAGTTGTTGTTTCCTTTTGGCTTTATCATGCATTCAGTGTTTAATTGATGAACCAATGCAGTGGTCTTAAGCTGTGTGGGGAGCCCTTGTGACATCTTATCCCTAGTGCTCAGAAGATGATTGTCTCAGCCTCTAGTAGCTACTTAAACTTTTGATCCCAAAGTGACTGAACAAACAGGGATGGCGTCCAATTGAAGTTTTTTTCTTTTACTTGGGCACTTATGAGGAGGCTGTTTTTCTCTGAGAGACAGATCCAGAGTAGCAGATATCCAAAAAGTCGTCAAAGCAGTTTAAAGGACATGCTGGTGTAATTTATTTAAATTACAGGGATGTGAGAAATTGGCTGTTTTTAGAAGAAGCATGAATATGTTAGAGGGCCAAGACTGCCACTGCTCTGCTGAGGTAGGACTTGTGATTTATTCTGTCATATAGGGAGTTTTATTATTTGTGAGTAGGTGGGTAGAACATTTTTAAGAAATGATTTACATGTTTTTATTTTATGTGCATTGATTTACCTGCATGTGTGTCTGTGTGAGGGTGTTGAATCCTCTGGACCTGGAGTTACAGTCAGTTTGTCAGCTGTCATGTGGGTATTGGGGATCGAGCCTCGGTCCTCTGAAAGAACAGCCAGTGTCCTTATAGTTGAAGTGTCTCTCCAACCCAGGTGCATATATGATCGTAAGTACCTTTTCAACTCACTCCCACTCCCATAAAAGGAAGCATGGGACTAGTTTGAATGGAGTCCCTCAGCCTGCTGGTCATGGGATTCTTGTCTGCCAGGCATAGCCAGACTTGCCCCAGTAGCCTGGGAAGTATGTCATAAGTTATGTGAGATCTTTATGAAGTTCATTTAATTTCCAACCTTGGCACCTCCATCATGTATTAAGTTAAAGCTGTTGCCAGTTAAAGCACTACATTCTGTTTTCATTTTGTAGTTCATCCTAATCCACCAAGGCCTGGAGTTCTAAGCCCATCTTAGTAAATTCATCATAGACAAGTGGTGGTATTGTTTATTTTAACATTGCCTGCTGTTCTTCAGGGAGGTGTGGATGGTAACATGGTTGTGCCCACATTCTCAGTCTGATGTTAGACTTTACTGTGCATTTATCCTCAGAATAGAATAGTGGGTAGACACCAGGTATCACTGTGTGTAATGCACTTCAAGTAAACATTGTCTTTTTGAGTGGTTCTGTTGTGTTGCCTAGCTTCTGTCAGTGAGGTTCTTTCTTATGTCTGGTTATTAGAAATAGTCTTGTGCATACATACATCTTTATATTTCTCTGATTTTTTTTTTTTTTTTTTTTTTTTGTAGGAGAAATTCACAGAAATATACTGCATGGAAGAATAATTATCAGAAATATATCAAGTCCAGCTGGTTTGTTTCTAAGATCCTTGCTGATATACCACCCCCACCAGTAATGTGGATTTTGGCTTCTGCACTCATTAGGTAGAGGGCATCATCAGTCTTGGCCTTTGCCTAGCTCTTAGGGCAGAACTAACCAGTTGTTAATTGTGGGTGTGGGTGTTGTTAGTGTCTTTTGGTGATTGCATTTTTTTCTGTGAATTTTGGTTTCTCCTTCACCCATATTTTCTAATGAGCCTTGTTTTGTGTTCATTTTCCAGGACATAACCCTGTCTTTGATACAGTTGGTTTTCTCAGGGTTTGCTTTTTGCTTTTTCTTTGGGTAGCCTTGGCTGTGCTGGAACTCGCTCTGTAGACCAGGCTGGTCTCAAACTCAGAACCACCTGCCTCTACCTCCTGAGTGCTGGAATTAAAGGCGTGCGCCAGTACTACCAGGCGATTTTCTCAGTTTAGAGTTGGTGTGGTTGGTGTTTCCTTTAGCTCTCATTAATATCAGGAAAGTATATAGTGCTTGATTATGGAATCATTGAAAATTTTTTCCTTTTTTTTTAATTTAAAAAAAAATGTGTATCATGTATGTGTTTTGTTTGCATGTGTGCCTGGTGCCCTGGATGCCAGATTTGAACATACCTATATCCAAGTGTTTTATTAAAGATAAGGTTAAAGTTTTAAAAATAAGTTAATTTTGGGCAGATACCCTTAAAACTGTCATTTGGGTCAGGGGATAGCCCTGGGAGAAGCTGTTCAGTGCTCTATCTGGTGTGTCTTTAACTTTCTTTTTCCACTTGTTAGATCTTTAACTTCTTTAAATCTATAGGTTCTTCTCTGAATGTTTCCCATTTTTCTCTTGAAAAAGAGTTGTTCTTGAAACTGAAATGTTTGTCCTTGGAGGTTTCCGAAGTTTAGATTTTGCTGATAGCATCTACATGGTGTAACTTAACATGCTTTGATTTTTGCATCTTGGGAACTGGGACTGCTTTGGAAGCTGTCAGGTTTTGGTTTCCTTGTGTTGGTGAGACTTTCATTAGTGGTGGTGTGTACTTCCATGAGAAGGCACATACATGCTACCTTTGGATTTCTGGTTGTCTTCTTCTCCACCTTCCCCTCTCCCTGTGGGAACGTTATCTAGGCAACACTCTGGGCCCCATCTGAAGGTTTGCCCCTAATCTTTTCTTTCCTTTTGCAAAAGGGCTTCCCTGAAACTGTGTGTAGCCTGGGTTGTTCTTGCCATCATGAGCTAGGATATGTGTTTCAGGTTGATATCTCCATTATCTTCTAGCACGCTTCACAGAGAGTAGGGTACACACTTAGAGTTTCCTTGCCTATTTTCAAGAAGAGTGGTTTTCTGATACTCACTAAAGAAGTTATGGCGGCAGAAGCTTGGAGAGATGGTTTAGGTCTTCAGAGTGCTTGCTGCTGGGCAGGGGGACTAGAGTTTGGTTCACAGAGCCCATATTGGGCGCTTGCTTACAACATCTGTAACTAAGGGGGATTCAGTGCTAGCCTCCATGGGTACATTACCTGTGCTCATAAAAAACTATTTTTGGAAATGAACTGTGTACCTATTTATATACCTGTAGTTGGCAAGCACTTTTTGTATTTGTGGGGTGTAATGTTATGTTTTGATCTGTGTATACATTGTGGAAAGAGTAAATGAACCTAAGGTAGCAGCTTCCTTTCCTCTGGTGAGAATGGTGAATGCTTCAGTGGCTTGGAAACACTTTTTTCCTGCTGCTGGGGATTGAACCCAGTTCCTTGTGCATGCTACCTTGTGTTTTCCTTTGTGCTACATCTACAGCCCTTGAACTGCATTCTTGCTATGAACTCTGATCACAGTGCAATAAAACTCACTTCTGGAACATTATATCCTTTCACTAATCACTTCTAATTTTACCTCAGCCTTCTATCTGCTTTTCTATTTTCTGTCCTAGTAAATTAGTTTTTTTGAGGCCACATATAAGTGAAATCATAACTATTTTTTAGTTCTTGGTTGTTTTTTATAGTATGGTGCAGCAGACATGTTATCTTCATTAATACTCAAGTTTCCTATTTTTATACAGTTAAATTCTCAAAGATCTTTTAAAAACACTGCCTGGATGTGGTTGCAAATGCCTTCTACCCAGCACTCAGGAGGCAAGAGGCCAGTCTACATAGTGATTTCTAGGACAGTCAGAGTTACATAGTGAGACCCTGGATTAAAAAAAATAAAAATACAGTTCTGTTACTATTTCGGGGGGGGGGGGGGAGGGGAGAGAACTTAGGTGTCTGCATGTCACCCTTATGTGGGGATCAGGGTACAGCTTTAGGAGTTGTCTTTTTCCTTAGATGTTGGGGTCAGACTCAGGTCAACAGGCTTTAGAAGCAAACAATGCTACCCACAGAGCCATCTCTCCAAACCTGGATCTTCAGTTTTTATTGCTTAGTCCAGTAGTCTTTTGATGACCTCTTGGTGTGGCAAGAGATTCTAGGTTTACTTTGTACATTCCTA